CATGGGCAGTAACCATGGCAAGATTGATGTGTCGTAAGACTACGGGGTGGCCATAACATTCACTGGATTGACAGATAGTATATGAGTGTTGTAAGTCGGCAATAGGATCGTGACATTCACCAGATTGAGGTAGACTATCATTGGAGTGGTCATGAGTATAAAGGAGGATCAGTTCGTGCCTTGGGCAAGACGGACAAGATTGTCGAAGTGCATCTCTCTGTTATAGGGGGAGGACCATTGCGGTTCGGGGTGAGGATAGGTCTATGTAGCTCTCGATGGGATGAGACATGTGGGCGAGGCTCGCATGATTATGGCAGTACAAGTGAGACCTAGTAGAGACCGGTTGGGTCAAGGTATTGGATCATGGTTTAGTGGGATGGTTACGTGGTCAGTGAATGGCAAGTGGTGATGCATAGGCTAGGGTAGCCTTATCAGTTGGATTCTATGGAACCTGGTGGCTGAACCAGGTGTGAGGATGGTAGTCTCAGCGGTGAATTGGGGATTTTATATCCTAGCTTAGTGAATGGATGCAGTGAATCAAAAGATTTCGGGTGAAAGCAAGTGCAATCATTGGATCTCGGGTTTCGAGTAAGGTACCAAGTTGGCTTTTGGTCGAGATTCGCATTGGGAATCGTTAGTGTGGTTATGCAAGATCTTTATTACAGTAATATAGGAATTAAGGAATATGTATGCCAAGGGCATCAACTAGAGGGTTTAGGGTCAAAAAAGGATGTTTTCAGTTCGGATGGTAGAAAAGGCCCTTGTGATTGTTCTTTGGAATGGTTCTGCCTGCGTGTAGGTCTGGAAAGTTATGGGATTTCAGAATTATGGGAGTAGCGTATCGTTTCGGCCTCAAGCATCGGTCAGTGATTCTGTTTTCAGTGGAATCAACAAGATAATCAAGGAATGGAAGTGTTATGGTCAGTCGGAATACGGAGGGGGAATTGTAATGTTAGTGTTTCACCATAGACTGTCTGTCGGGAAGTCGTACATGGTTTAGAATCTCAGACTTCGAGCAGAATAGTAATGGTTATTCTTCAGGCGTAGTGGAAGAAGTGTTCAAGTTGTCCGGTGTGGCTGGGAGGTAGTAAGGAGTGATTTCGAGGACGAAATCTAATTTAAGTAAAGGAGAGTTGTAACATCCGTTTTCCTGGATGCTTCATATTAGGGTTTCATAGGGTCAAAAGGTTGGATTTTGGAGGAAAATGGGTCCTCGCGATGTGAGGCATGGAGGCTCACGACATGAGGAGGGTCACATGAAGATTCCATCTGGGACTGAGCTCACGACGTGAGCAATAAGAGCTCACGACGTGAGGGTCGTTGTAACCCAAGCCCACAAAGTTTTAGGGTTTCCCATGTGTTTAAGCCCCCTTAACTCGGTTTTAGGGTTCATTTCTCAGCCTCCACTTTCCCCTAACTCAGAAAAATCCTAACCTAATCCGTCTTGGTGATAATGGATCCATTTTAGTGTTTTGGTGGCTAGAAGAAGAAGAAGAGGTTCTAGAGTGTTGGTTCAACAAGGAGGTTTCATCATCATTATCATCTTGTGCACATTTTGGATCTTTGTAAGTGCCCAAGATCCAATGTTTATGAGCTCAAATTGCTAAATCTAAGTTCTAAGCTCCTTTTTTCATGTTTATGATGGATTGCATGCTTAGGATCCATAAAGTTGGCAACTTTATGGATCAATGAGTCATTCTCCATGATTTGGTCATATGGATTTGGAGTACGGTTATAAATTATGAATCTTGTTTGAGTTTGTGGCCATTTATTGTCACTTCGACCTAAGGTGGGTTTAGGACATGCATGTCCATCAAGTAATCGTTTTTATTGGCCTTTGGAGCCCTTGTTAGCTTATGGATGAAGTAGGATTGAAGGCTTAATGGATTAAGGACTTAAAGGTCGATTTTTTAGCCTCAGACTAATCTCACAACGTGAGACACAAGGTCTCACGATGTGAGAAGTGTTTGGTCCCATTTCTGGTCATCTTTTTGGGGCTCACAAAGTGAAAAAGGCTTCTCACGGTGTGAGGGCAGCCCCGTTGACTTTCCTTTGACTGAGTTGACTATGTTGGGTCGTGATGAGTGGGATCTGATTTAGTGATCTCTCACGACGTGACCAAAAGCTGGTCACGATGTGAGATGTGGTTTTCGGGCTTTTGGGCCTTGTTGGGCCCTAATTCCCTGTATGTGAGCCTTTTTGGTGCTTGGGCCCATTTGGAGCGTTGGGTATCTTTTAGGAGTTTAGACCTCCTTGGATTAGGCCTAAGATGGGTTTTGGGCCAATTAGGAAGTTGGGCCATAATGGGCTCTTGATGCTATTGGTGGGCCTTGGATTTCGGGTCAAGTGAGGAAAGGGTAAAATGGACTTTTACCTTGAGGGTTGAATAATCGGACTTGGATCCTAGTTATGGGTTGTGGAACCAAATATTAATTCGGTATTATTTGTTGATGCTAGCGCGCGGGGATTTTCCGGATCAGCAGTCCGAGCTTTTACCTGAGATATTCGGCAGTTGAGGTGAATCTTCCTTCGCAATAGCCGTAGGTGGAAGGCACCAAGGCCGACCCACTATTTATGTTATAGCATGATGATTGTCTTTATGATAATTTTCAGTCATGTTTATATTTGTATGATGACTCAGTGATTACTGTTATGATATTATGTGGTAGTAGTAGGGGTGAAATAGACCCGGTATCCGGTTGAAATAGACTGAAGGGATAAGCCAGCACCCAGATATGTTTGGCAGTGTCCGGTTGAAATAGACTGAAGGGGTAGGCCAGCACCCAGATATGCTTGGCAGGTCCGGTTGAAATAGACCGAAGGGGTAGACCAGCACCCAGATATGTTTGGCAGTATTCGGTTGAAATAAATTGAAGGGGCAGGCCAGCACCCAGATATGCTTGGCACTATGTTGTTCAGTATGTTTGTATGGTATGTTTAATTGGTATGTGGTAATTTGGGGAACTCACTAAGCTTCGTGCTTACGGTTTTCGGTTTATGTTTCAGGTACTTTCAGTTTGAAAGGAAAATGGCTCGGTTTGATCGCAGCGTATCCACCCATGTTTCCGCTTTATGATTATTTTGGGATTTTACTCTGATAATTGTTTTCTTATAAAGTACTATTGAATATTTAGAAAAATGATGTGTAATGTTGACTTAAAATATAATTAATGTTTTGGTGGAATTAAAAAAAGAAATTTTTACCTTATAATTTAGGGATGTTACAACTAAGGATGTTACAATATTTATCCTTAAATTACAATATTCTTATTTAATTAATTATTAAGATAAATACCCAAATTAAATGATTAATTTAACCAATATCAGTACGATGCATCATATTGCATAATATGATTATAGAATATGGTGGAAAAACGATATGTCGCTTCGACAAAAACAAAGTTTTGCCAAACGTCGAAGGAGTAGATGTTGGTACGCAAGACTATAGGGAAATTTGAATAGAAGTACGTGATCACGTCATTCATCACTCACTTTGTGCGGATTTGTGGAGCATATTTAGAGTGCTAACATATAGCTCGAGGTCGAGTATTGGCACAATAATTTGTTTGACGAATCAGATGGAGATTTAAATATGTCCGTCGATGACTCGGACAAGGATTTAGAAGAGGATTCGGATAATGAGGACGTCGATTCCGAGTGATGTAGTTTTTTAATAATGTTTTATTATAATTATTATGTGATTTTTAATTATGTTTACTTTGTTTTATTATTTAATTTTTACTTTTTAACTATTGAAATATTTATTATTTTTATTATTTTTTTGTTTATTAGTTATTTTTTTAATTAATTATATTTATTTTTAAAATTAGTTTTTAAAATCAAATTAATTTGTGAAAAATAAAAGTGAAAGGAAATAAAATGTGACCATTTTCTAGGTTTTGAAGAGTGAAAATGAGAGTGATGAGAAAACAAGGAGTTAGGAAGATGAGTAGTATGAGTATTTCCAATCCATTTCTTTTCTTTGCAAGGGACACCTATTGACTGTTCTCTTTCGTATATGTTAAATTCAACGTATTACAAGATGTAGGATGTTATTCTATTAAACCAAAGATTAAATGATTGATATATCAAATGCATGCAATAACAGAAGATAACACCAACATGTACATGCATTGCATGCATGCTAGACATAGACCATATGGTCGTGGTTTACCACAACAAACAGCTTGAATGGCGAGGAAACAATTAATATGTAGGTGTGGGTGTGGGTGTTATTTATATAAGAATGTCTCGACAAACGTTGTTGTTGTATCACTATCAGCACTAAGTGAAGGGTGGGTTGGGATGAAATTAATTACTTCCGCATTGAAGAGGAACTCCACTCTTGAAAGTAGTCTTTTATGTACTGTTGTCAACAAGTCTATCATATTACAAAAAGGAAAAATATAGAGCGCGTTTGGTTGTGGAAAATTTTCCAATTTTCCATGAAAATTTTAAAACTCATTTGGATGATTTAGTTTTTAAAAATTTCCAAGAAAATGAAAATTTTCTGTTTTTCAAATTGTATGTAAATTAAAAAAGTGATTTTTATAGTTTTTCAAAGTATTTAAATTTCTAGAGATGGAAAATGAAAATCCATCGGTTTCAACCGAACGCATTTTGTAAATAGTTCATTGAAAACTGAAAATGAAAATTCCAACTCTATTTTCCGAAAACATTTTCTAGAAACAATTTTCGAGGACCAAACAAAGCCCTTAAATTTGTATGTGTTCAATTTGATACACACCCGTGAGACCCTCTTCTTTTACAGAGATGCAGATATGATGCATCTAGTTTAGAATATTGATGAAATAACTTGTTTCGCAGACATATTTGATTTGTTTGCCTTGTTTGTTTCTGTGTTGGCTGCCTAGACAGATTTGCCTACTCGGACATTTTTATAAAGATCACCAAAAATAGAAACTAAAAATCCTATAATTACAAAACATATGACAAACAAGTTTGCAAGTTAAGTAGGAAATATTATAAGATTGTTAATCCTATTGGTAGTGTTGTTGTATCCAACTACAGCCAGGAAGTTTTCTGATTCCCTTCTGGCTCATTTGGTTCCTTACATGGTCAACATCAGACCACTGATCTGAAGCTGCATACATGTCGGATAGCAACACATAATTAGCAGCATTTTGAGGTTCATTCTTGAAAAGCTGAGCTGCAACCTCTTTACCCAATGACACGTCACCATGTGTTCTACAAGCAAAAAGAAGAGCACCCCAAGCGGCGGGTTGAGGTGGCACCGGCATTTCTTTAAGAATATCATATGCCTCTCTTAACTTTCCGGCACGAGCAAGAAGATTGACTATACATGCGTAGTGATCAGGTGAAGGAGAGAGAGCGTATTCATTGACCATAGAATGAAAAAAGTGGCAGCCTTCTTCAACAAGATCAGCGTGACTACAAGCAGTCAAGATGACAGTGAAGGCCACGTCATCTGGAATCAGCCCTCCTCCTTGTAGCATCCTGCGGAAAAGGGCAACCGCTTTAACCCCGTCCCCATGAACAGAGAATCCCTGGATCATAGAACAGTAAGAAAATAAGTCCCGTTTAGGCATGTTTCCAAACAAGGCCTCTGCCCTCTCCAAATTCCCACACTTTGCATGCATGTTCACCAGCGCTGCAGCCACGTGATTTTGGGTAACCTCAATTTTATTTTCACTCATATACATGTCAACCCACTCAGCAAACTCCCAATCACCCGCTTGTGAACATGCTGAAATTAGGCTCACCATCACATACTCATCAGGCTTAACATTCTTACAACACATGTCAATGAATAATTTTCTAGCTTCTTTAGCTTGACCGTTCTGGGCATACCCAGCTATCATTGCAGACCAACAAACAATATCTTTCTCACCAGGTGATTCATCAAACAAACATCTCGCTGATGCCATATCCCCTGACTTTGCATACCCATCAATCATAGTCGTGAATGACACCAAATTCTTTTCAGGCATTTCATCAAACAAAATCCTCGCGCTTGCCAGATCACCCGACTTTGCAAACCCATTTATCATGGCATTCCACGAGGCATGATTCCTTTGGGGCATTTCATCGAACAGCTTTTTGGCCTCCAAAGAATTCCCATTTGTTGAATACCCAACTATCATACTAGTCCAAGTAACCTCGTTTCTCACAGGCATTCCATCAAACACCTTGCGAGCATCTATCATCTCACCACATTTCCCATACAGATCAATCAAACTAGACCCCACAAACACATCACCTTCTGTACCATACTTAACTATCAACCCGTGAATAACCTGTCCTTCCCTCAACGCCAAAGCACCAGAACAAGCTTTGACCAACGAAGGGAATGTGTATTTGTCCGCAGCAACATAACAATTTTGTTTCATGCGCCGAAAAAAATTGATGGACGTGGCCAGGGACGAGTGTGTGCAGTGGCATTTAATGAGAGTGTTCCAAAGATAAATATTGGGTTGAAGAAGGCGGTCAAAAATGGTTGAGACGTAAGTGAGGTGATTAGGAGAGACGGAGGTACAGACAGAGATGAATTGTGCTACCAGGAAATGGTCTTGTTCGGAGCCCTGGCGAATGATTTTGGCGTGGACTTGCTCAAGGTATCGAACATTAACATTTTTGCAGACCTTTAAAAGACACAAGGGTGATAAGGACGTTGAAGATGAGCAAAGAACCATTGTGAATTAAGAATTGAACATGCATAAATGCAAAAAAGGTAAAGAGTATATACTATATACGTTTTTGCTTGATTTGTATGGAGAAATGGATAGGAGGGGAGAAAGACGGAAACCAGCAAGGATCGATTCAGAATGGAATGGAAGGCAATGAAGTTGATTGCCGATGTACGTTGTCCCGTGTAGTAATCGCTCACTCATGACTCATCGGAGGAAAAAAAAAAATAGAAACCCTAGCTAAACCCGTAGCATCACCAAATCTCTTACATATGTTTAATATTCAAACTTCAAATAAGTTAGAAACATATTGACCAAATTATTATTCCCGTTCGATTTTTATGTTGTGTGGTATCTAAAATATTATTGGTTTGATTTTCATGTTCTAATATTATCCGTTTAATGTTTTGTGGTATCTAACATGTTACGATCAAACTATTATAACTAGACATTAAAGAATCAAGAACTAATCCATTTTAAGATCAAATTGATTCAACATCTGTCCACAAACCATAAGCATGAACAGTTTCTCTTGTGAGCATCTCAACATTAATCGATCAAGAACATAAGACATCAAATTAAGAACTGAACATCCACATTAATCGATCAATAATGTACTCCACCATTATCTCCGTTTTGTTGACCAACAAAAGTCAACCCAGACACGTCATCTTCCTTTTAAGTGATGTGAAATTGATGACTGGACTTATAACCCAACAATTCTCCACCTGAGGCCATCATCAACAAACAAAACACAAAACCATGAGCCAAAACCACCTAGATCAAAAACTAGCAACAACATCTAATCGATGCTAAACCCATGACATCAAGATTGCACCGCAGTGCATTGGGACTTATCTTTCCTCAAGTTGAATCAACTAAAAGCACTTGTAAGGGATTTTTTGCTTGAAAGGATTTGACCAACTAACCGGAAAGACTACAATAGCAACTATATTATCATTGATAATTCTTGAATTGTAAATGACCTCAAATGTCTTAAGATTAATGAGGATAAATGACTAAATGATGACTGAATATATGACAATTAATGATGAAAGACTAAATAAAGAATGATGATGATCGAATATATGACAAAAACGATGAATAACTAAATGACGAATGGTGATGAGTAACTATATGGAAACTGATGATGAATGACTATGTGTCAAACTGTTTAATCCTAAGATTAAGAAGTATTATTATGATTCTCCAAATGATTTTGAGGATGCACATTCGTTTAAGGAATGTGTCAATTCCTTTAACTTTTAAAATATTGAATTGTGGTATTACTTATTAGGTATTTCCAATGTCTAAGCTACTTATTTGGATATGCATTCAGCTTTAGAATGTAAAAAACATATAATTAGAGAAAACTTGGACTTTAGAAAGCCATGATGATTGTAGTGTCTCTTAAATTTTATGTGATAATGTTATATCGAATACCCTCAGACTTTAAATGTAACGTCCCAAAAATAAGACCCGGAAATTTTCATTTTTGAATTAATAAAATAGTAAATCATATCATTTTCATAAAACCAGTGTAATCAAAGTTTTATCAATACATCATCATTATCAAAGTAAATCACAGAATGCGGAATCGAGTGGTGTGTGCTCTACAATCATCCCGAGTTCTTCCCTTTGAAAACAGAAGTACCTGAAACATAAACTGAAAATCGTAAGCACAAAGCTTAGTGAGTTCTCCAAAATACCACATACCATACATACATAAATAAACACATAATAAGCCCCGCCCGGCATCGATCCCCGCTCGGTATACATATCTGTCAGTCATTAGGCCCCGCCAGTAAACATATAAACATATAAACACATAACACATGCAATAATCACAAAGATACATAGCATACAGAATGGTCATCGGGCCCCGCCCGGCATCAGGCCCCGCCAGCTAAGCATACGAGCACATAACACATGCAAGAGTCAGACATCTAACATCCTAACATAACAAAACCATGGGCCGGTATTGGTGTCTTCGACCCTTTAAACACAGTGAGGAAACTCACCTCGCATTGTCGAATCTCACAGAAAGAATCTCTGGCTGTTGGCCCGCTAAAAATCCCCACGCTATTAATCATAAAATAATCATCCAATCAATAATCGGATCATGTCCTACACTGAGAGTCCAAACTAGGGTAAAATACCTTTTTACCCTTTCCATAACTTGGCCCTATCCAATTGACCAAAGGCCCAAATTCCATAATAATCACTCAAAGCCCAATATGGCCCAATTTTCCAAATTGGGCCCAAATCCCTTTCATGGGCCTACAACCAAGGAGTCCAATAAAATACCAACAGCCCAACACGAGAATCCTGATGGCCCAACAAGGCCCCAAGACATCAAAAACCCAACCTAGCCCAACACTGACAAGCCCTCATGTCTGAAGCCCACTGCTGAGTAAGCGGGGCGTACTCAGCTCGTACGCGCATCGTACTCGCCTTAGGACTTGTACGCTAAGCGTACCTGCTTGTACGCCCATCGTACTCCCCTATTTTGGCCAACCTACACTTTTCCGGCTCTTAATCGATTAAGACTTTAATCCAAACTCAGATCTAACTTCCTTAAGATGGTTTATCACGTAAAGTTTCCAACTTTACGTGCATGCATGGCTTAATGAGGCTCTTAGAGCTCAAAAGAGCTTAACAAATGACTTAATACATGCATGAGACCATAAACACCATAAAGTTTGCACCTTTAAGCTTAAGGAACTCTCCAAACATCCAGATCTACAAGATTTAGCTTATAAAACGGCCTTAACCCATCAAGACCAACCAAAAAGGGACAAAGAAGCATAAAACCATAACATGAAGAGATCTAAGTATGCAAGGATCAAGGTATGAACTTTATACCTCAAAAGTCACCAAAAGATGGAGCTAAATATGGATCTCTAGGCTTCTTTCCAATGAATGAGTCTTCCAACTTCTTCTTCTAACACTTCAAGGAGTAGAAACCACCAAAATCAAGACCAAGGCTCAAAAACACTCAAATATGCTATTAGGGTTTGAGATTAGGGTTTTAGGACAACAGAAGCTGATAAAGATGTAACACCCCGATTCTCAGGTATTGATTTAATATAAGAATTTTCTTGATTTCAAGGGCTACTCGACGAGTTTGTTGCCCTACTCGTCGAGTAGCAGCGGGTTGGTCCACGTGTTTTAGTGACCTACTCGTCGATTCCAGGAAGGGACTCGACGAGTAGGAGTTGGGGAATGAAACCCTAATTTTTGGGGTTTTGCACCCTATTTAAGGATCACTTATTTCCCCTTAGCCTCTCTTACTGCTCCCCTCGAATTCAGAAACCCTAATTTGTGCTTGTTCTCTATATTGGTGTGCTTTTTAGCTTGGAAGAGGGATTTTTTGTGAGGAAAGGTTTGAAGATCAAGAAGCTTGGAGCAAGGAACAACTGGGGATCTGAAGTCTACCTCAGTTTATCACCATTTAGAGGTATCAAGTCATCACCTTGAGCTTCTTCTAATTAGA